GTAATGGGTGATTATGCTCTTCAACAAACTCACGAATGACATACTTGTTGTTGTTTGCAAAAGACAATGATATCCTTACAAGACATTCAGTTCTAGTTTCTGGTCGATGTTTTGTGACTTGGGGCTTTCTTTTATCTTCTATTCAATGTCCCTCTTTACAACAAACATATCTGCAACCTGTAATGACACCATATACCTTTCGCTTGTTAAAATATTGTTTCCTGACTCCAAATCCTGCCAGCTTGCCATATTCACACCAAAATCGTCATGCTTGCTCAAGACTCTCAAACTCTTGCCTGACACTTGGTTTCCTTGCGACATCCATTCTTCAGTCCAATAAAATAACAGTAAACATGACCAAAATAATGTTATATAACAGTTGTAATGGTAAAATGTGCACCTTTAGTATGTTTGAAGACTTTCTTTGTCATAGTCTAACCCGAAATGGATTTTAGTTCTGCGAACTTGTGTCGTTTATCCTCACCGTGAGTGTGAAATAAGTCCTTACTAACGATAACCAATGATAATATCATGTACTTGAATGTTTCACCAAGAGTAAAAATAGATAAAACTTCTCTCTTCAGAAATAAGTACGCTAATATATCCTTGGCGCCAAAATTCCTGTCAAATATGCTTAAGCCGTATTCGCTAAATGTATCGCTAAGGCGAAAATTTTGCTCTTAAGTGACTTTTCGCTTAAGCGACCAAATCTCGCTTAAGCGAAAGATGCAACTGTTGGTTTTTAAAAAACTGGAATCACACTGCTCATTTCCATTCCATTCCCTTCTAAGGCTTTTCTATTATTCTCTGAAAGTTCTGAACTTTCATCTTCTCCAAACGTCTCTGTTCACAGTTTCAGATCAAGCTAAAGCTTCCATTTTTAACTCAGGTACATAATGCATGTTTTATGTTCTGTTTAATGTAGTTTAGGGGTCCCTGAAAACTCACTTTCATTGTCGCTTAAGTGTCTAACGATTCTATTATTCTTAACTTTTGCATGAGATTATAAGGCTTTCATGTGTTCAAGATTGTGATATATGAATGAGATTAGTATTATTGTGTCCATATTAGACTGATTTAGAACATTAAGTTTAGGGTTTAGGGTTAGTTTTCCTGCCTCTGTTGTTCATGGTTGTTTAGGGATTTAGTGCCTCTGTTGGAAGCCTCTGTAATTTTTGCTTAAGCGGGTTGAATTAGCTTAAGCAAAAGTTTAATCATGGGAAAAGCTACAGGTCGAAGGTTTCGCTTAAGCCACAAATTTTTGCTTGGGTGAAACATTCAAAGATGAGTGTTGATCACAGTTTATGTACTTCAGTCTTGACATTTCATTTCTAATACTATGCTAGAGTTTTGAAAATTAAAATTAGGCTTGCATTACCCTATCATTTGCTTACTGAAATAGATTCATGACCCTTTTGCATTGCTTTCAACAGAACTAAAATAAGGCTTCATAAACTACGATTTCTGCTGCATAAAATTTGGACTATGATAACTGAGAAGAATTAGAGACGAACCTAGCAAGTACCCCTATGTTCTGCTGTTGTCCATTTTGTGCATATTGAGTTGTTATCCTTCTTTCATTTCTTGTTAAGGATTAATTATCAACAGAGGATGGAATAGAATGAACACACCCATCTAATGATCTACAATCGCTCAAAGACTAGAATTTTATTTTTATTGTTTAAATTTTTGAATGTTAATTAGTCAATTAATTAGCTCGGTTCTTTGTTAATTACTCAATTTTAATAAATAGAGTAGAATTTAATTATTCAAACTTGAATTTATTTCAGGATGGCACCAAAGAAGTCTATTCCTCAAAGAAAAAGGCAAAAACCTGAAATTGGGCAAGGTTCACAGCAACATGATGAACCTGTTGAACAACGTCAACAATCACAAGCTCAAACTGCTGAAACAGAAATCATATCATTTGATAGATTTAGGTTCAAAACTAGGGCCAAGGCTCAGAGATTTCTTGACTTACAATGTAGGGAATTGCTACCTGAGAGGAACGTCTCTTTACAAGAAGGACAATATGAAGAGTTTGTGCAGGAGATTATAAGAAGAAAATGACAATTCTTGGCAAATCTCCCTAACCAAATTCATAAGGTAATTGTCAAATAATTTTATGCAAATGCATGGCCATTGATCCCATTGATCCCACACAAGTCAGAGCGGAAGTCTTGGGTTCGTAGACACACTGTTGCTTATGACAGAGATGCAATATCAGCGCTGTTAGGCAACCCTTTGACCTTGGGAGAAGGGGAGCTATGCCAATACCAACAACATCGAGGCTCTTTGTCAGGTTTTCCAGATGACACGGTAGCTGACACCTTATGCATCCCTGAAAAATCCTATGAAATAAATGCAGCGAAGAAGCCAATGCGCTTCAAAAGGCAGTCTTTCACTACTTTGGCCCAAATATGGGCATCCTTTCTCTTTGCCAACGTAGCCCCAACCACACACACCTCAGATGTCTGGATGCCCCGAGCATATCTGATATACAACATCATGGAGGGGATGTTTGTTGACATAACAGCCATAATTTTAGAAGAGTTGCACCAGTTTGTATTGTCCAATACCTCCAGTACTGCATCAACAACAAGACCTTTGAGATTTCCATCACTAATCACCGCTCTATATGCTTCCCAAAGGTGTTACAATTTCAGACACCTCCAATCAAACAATTAGCTTGAAGAAACCAATTAATTATCAGTTCATTAGAAATTATTGCACCAATCCAATGGAACAACTGGTAGGAGATTCTTCTCAACCGTCTTCATCTGTACCACCTGCATCACAACCACGAACACGACCATCTATGCCTGAAGCACTACAAACAGATCCAACTCTCATATGTCATCTGACTCATATAGAGCAACAATTAGCAGCAAACAATTGTGCTTACACTCACCTAAACGAGTCCTTCTATAAGTAAATGTTCTCTCCTTTACTATTTTAATTACTCTTGTAATTTTTATTTGACCATTATCCTCATTACCCCTTCATCATATCTTTCCACAGGTTCACTCTACACCAACATCATGGTCAGGATTCTGCTTTCCCATGGCCCACACCCAAGACTTTTGCAGCAACTATATCATGGCTTGGAGATAACCCTACCTTCACATTTCAAGATGAAACTACATAGGATCCAGATCAACAGCTAAAGGAAGGACCCCACGAGGACATTCAGGACATTGAGGAAAATGATGGGGGAGATGTACAAGAAGGTCAACAATTACAGGAAGAAGATGGATATGATGAGGGAGATGAGCCACAAGCAATGCAAGAGGATGACAATGTTGGAGCCACATGATTATAATTGGGATTTTATTGTAATAGATTTTAATGAGTCAACATTTTGTGTTATGTTATGTAATGGATTTCATTTGTAGTTCTTGAATGCTTAATCCTATAGTTCTCGTTAATGAATTTCATTAGTAGTTCTTGAATACTTATTCCTATAGTTCTCATTAATGGATTTTAATATTTATCACAATTGGTAATTAGAATAATTTTGCAGTATCATTTACTCTAAATTTTTCTGTTTGTAAATTGAAACTCAGTTACCCGAAAAATAGTCATCTTGCCAACCATTTTCTATGTGCTTATCAACTCCTTTTTGTATAAGATGTAAGTTTGACGTTATTTATATGTAATCAAGTGTATTTTGGCCCCCTTAATTGCTGTCTGTATTAGGAGTAGGTTGGATTTTTTGTACCTTTTGCTTAAGCCATCCAATTTTGCCCAAGTGCGTATATATTTTGCTTAAGCTACAGATCTGGGCTTAAGCGATTATATCAGGATGTACGGGTAAATGTAATTTCTGATAAATTCGCTTAAGCTGATAAAATTCGCTTAAGCTGATAAAACTCGCTACATTTGTAAAAGTCTAGCTTAAGCCCTACCAAAATTAGCTTAAGCTATTTAAATTTCGCTCAAGCTAATTACACTGCCTGAAACATGTGCTCTCTGTTTTACATTCGCTTGATAATAGTTAAATTCGTTGGCCGTGGCTTGAGCGAGGCGAAAATAGCTTAAGCTATGAAAGATTAGCTTAAGCGAAATAGGTGACTGAAAAACATGTCTCTCTAGTCTATTTTCGCTTCAAATTTTTCTTTTTCACTTACGAGGACTTAAGCGATTTTAAATTAACTTAAGCCATATTTGGTAGCTTAAGCGAAATAGGTGATTGAAAAACATGTCTCTCTGGTCCATTTTCGTTTCAAATTTTTCTTTTTCACTTGAAAGGGCTTAAGCTATTTTGAATTCGCTTAAGCCTGATATGGTCGCTTAAGCGAATTTCGCTTAAAAGTCTGTTCTTACTCGCATAGGCACGTTTCTGCGTGTTCAAGCCCTTTCGTTGGTCGCTTAAGCGAGTTTTTTCCCGTCAGAATTGCAAGCGATCCGAAAGAATCACCAAGATAAACAAGAAAAATAATTTGGTTTTCTTTCAAAATAGTTCGAGCTCCTTCAACTCCACACACACAAGAAAACAACCATAAAAATACCAATAAAATCTATCGAAGTGCCCCAAACATTATATTTATTTTTTTAATAATAAAAAAAAGTGTCAATTTTTTATAAAAAATACTTAAACCTAAACTCTAAACTATAAAAAAATAAATATTCTTTTACGAGTTGATACTTAACGTGATATGTCAAAAAATACTCTAAACTAAATAAATATTTAGTAAATACCTTATTTTAGTTTTTTTTTTTTAGTATTATATTTTAGTAAAAAAAAAGTTGCTTTTTATGACACAAGATAACACAATTTTATAACACATTTGTTAAACACGTTCAAGATTATGTTCAAGATTATTAAAAACTGATAAATTATTTAGATAAATTGTTTCAAATTTTGGATTATTTTAGTGAAAAAAATCCAACATTCTGCTTATCAAATACAAATAGAAATAGTAGGGACAGAGTACCTATGTTTGTGTATAAAAAATGAAGTATCCTCGTAAAACACCCGACCATTGTGTCACGGCTAACTAGTCAAGTGTACAGAGGTACGTCCTCTCATTCCCACCATGCTGAAATCAACGTTCTCTCCCATTTTTTGGGTGCTTTCTCCAAAACCTAAGTCTCCAAAAGTATCATCTCACACAATCTTCCGAAACAGCACGCCACATGTTCGCTACAACGCCTCTTTCAACACCTCACCACTCCCACACCCTTCATCAGCTTACATTCACCTCCCTTTCTGTCGAAAACGTTGCCACTACTGTGACTTCCCCATCGTCGCTCTTGGCTCCTCTTCAACCCAAACACACGACGACCCACGAGTCTCGAACTACATACACTGGCTCTGCAGAGAAATCAACGCAACCCAAGTGGAACAACTCAATGCCACGACCCCTCTTCAAACGGTCTATTTTGGTGGTGGAACACCCTCCCTCGTACCTCCTAGGATGGTTTCCTCGGTTTTGGAGACTCTGAGGATGAAGTTTGGGTTGAGTGAGGATGCTGAAATATCAATGGAAATGGACCCGGGCACGTTTGATGCCAACAAGATGCGAGAGATGATGCTGTTGGGAGTTAACAGAGTGTCTTTGGGGGTTCAAGCATTTCAGGAGAAGCTTTTGAGGGCTTGTGGAAGAGCACATGGCGTGAAAGAGGTTCATGAAGCTATTGACATTGTTAAGTTATGTGGGATTCAGAATTGGAGTGTAGATCTTATAGCTTCACTGCCTCATCAGACTAGTGATATGTGGGGGGAAAGTCTAAGGCTCACCATTGAGGCACAACCAACTCATGTTTCAGTTTATGACTTGCAAATTGAGCAAGGCACAAAATTTGGAAGAATGTAAGTGGCATTTATGTTATGTTACATCAGCAGCAGTTATAGTATTTTTATTTTTATTTTTTTATGTTTTCAAGTATATACCTATTTTAATCTCACAAATTGCAAGCAATGATCCCTTTAGTCTCTAACTCTACAAAAATATGACTTTAATCCCTGTATTTACAGTGAAAAATGACAATGAGATTTTAGTCCTTTTCGATATAAAACAACTATAAAATTTAAGTAGAGAAGTACTAAATGAGTGTTTTTTAAAATCTTACAGACTAAAGAGAGATTTTTGTATAGTGAGTAACTAAAATGATCCATGCTCACAATTTGAGGGACCAAAATGAGTATTTGCCTTTTTTCTTTCTTTCTTTTCAGCAATTGCTAACTAGTGTCCTAAGGATGTTGCTTAATAAATTAAAAAATATATTGAAAATATTAGTATACTCTTATTGTATTATGACTTTTAATATTTTTTTGGTTCTTTTAACATATGTTTAACAAGACCTTTTATTTTAAGCATTATAATGGTTTGGAACCTAAAGGTGAAAATGTTTACAGATACTCACCAGGGGAATTTCCTCTCCCTTCTGAGGTACAATCAGCTGATTTCTACAAGATGGCTTCAAGCATGCTTTATAATGCAGATTATAACCATTATGAAATCAGCAGCTACTGTAAGAGTGGATACGAGTGCAAACACAATTACACCTATTGGAAGAACAAGCCTTTCTATGGCTTTGGCCTTGGCTCTGCAAGTTTTGTTGGTGGGTTGAGATTTTCGAGGCCGAAGAAGGTGAATGATTACATTAATTTTGTTCAAAATCTAGAAAATGGATTGGTAAATAGCTCAGCTGTTGGCCACATTCAGAGCAAGGACACAGCCATGGATGTGGTCATGCTGTCCCTAAGAACTGCAAGAGGCCTAGACTTGAAGTCTTTTCAAGAATCATTTGGCAGCTCTGTTGTTTTGCCTTTGCTTGAGGCTTATAAACCTTATGTTGAGAGTGGACATGTGATTTGCTTGGATGGGGAGAGGAGAGCCATTAGAGTAGATGATCTCAACAATTCTTTTTTGAATAAAACTAACACAGAAAGGTGGGTGGCTTATGTAAGGCTAAGTGATCCAGAAGGTTTTCTCTTATCAAATGAGCTAATAGCCCTTGCTTTTGGGGTTATTGACTCTTGGAAGGAATGCTCTTCATGCTAAATAGCTACTTGAAAGCATGACTGCGTATCTGTTTAAGCAGCAACAAGTTTGTTAATAGCTATAGCTTATGTTATCTTACAATTACTTTTATGTTTTGTTGGATGGCGGGGATGGATACTCAAACGCCAATGGTGGGCATCCATATATCTTCACAGTAAAATAAATAACTCATGAAATGAAATCAATTTTGATAAACATTGTAATGACCGTCCCATTTTTGAGATGCAACCAAACTCCTGACTTGACTCTTCATATCACTTAAACTTGCCAAATAACATCATAAAATGGATAAACTTGATTGGCTGAAAGCAATTTGAAAAAAATGGACCGAATACAGAAAAAAATATGCAGGAAGTAGCACCCAGATCAATGCTCCAGAAGCCAAACGGAACAAACTTTTTTGTTCCTGCTGAGACGAAAACCAGGTTGGATAAAGAGTAGCCTAATTGATGTCTGCAGATATGATAATATAATAGCTAAAAGCCTAAAACTAAAATCTTCAATGTTCAGAACTTATCGTACATTGGATTGAAAAGACAAAAGCTAATGCCTAAAATCTTTAGACTGAAAAAACTTATTACATGAAATGAATCCTTCAATGGCTGCCGGATTACACTTACTTCTAAAGGACTTATTCCTCACTGCATTAAAATGCAACGCCGCACATTAATCAGGCAAACACTTTTCACGATCTGTATGTTCATAAACCCAAAGTGGTGGAAATAAAGCAACAGGGAAAAATTTAAATTAGAACTGCTACTAAAGTTACGTACAAATTGGAATGTTTTCAATTTGACTGAAAATATGCACTACAAATTTTATGAATTTTCACATACAATATTAAACTTAACTTCTAATAAATTATTTCTTACTCCTCTACACTCTTTTTTTGGCTATTTACTACTCTACACTTTAACATATTTATGTATGTGTATATATATTTTCACTTGTTCAATAGTATTAGCTATACAAATATTATCATTAGTGGTTACTATATCAACGTTACTACAATTTCTATTTTTTTATTTTTTTCAATAAGGATAGTTTTTAAAAATATAAACTATTTTTAACAGTTTTTATGTGTGAATCACTTAAAATTGACTTGTCAATATAATAAGGATATTGTGTTTAATTTTTTTTAAAGTTAATCAAATATGAAATCACTCGAATATTTGTTCAGTTATCAATTAAATTCAGAAAACAGTCGGTTTTCTTTTAATTCTTATAAATAAGATGGCAATTGCTTTCCAGAAAAAACTAAAACAGGTAACTTTAAATTAACAACTGCAGGATTTAAATCAATATCAAATATAATGATTTCAACATTTTATTTATTTATTTACACGTATTAAAAACATATTTCCAAAAATTAAAACAGAAACGAAAAATTATTTTACTTAAATTATAAAATGACATTTTCCCTTAAATTAAGGGGAAAATGAATTACTGAACTGGGAGGATATTATTGTTTGTGTAAAGAGAAACGACGACGCAGGGTCTAAGGAAGGGCATTTTTGACGCGGCGCTGGGTTTAGTGAGTAGAGAAGATGGGGAAGAAGACGAAGAAAGCCGGCAAAGGCAAAGAGAAAACTGAGAGAAAAACTGCAAAAGGAGAAGAGAAAAGAGTGCGCAGGGAAACCAAGAAGCTTTCTCCGGAGGACGACATCGACGCCATTTTGGTATAAACTCTCTCTTCTTCCATTCCATTCCTCTCTATTCTCACTTCACTCTCTTCCACCAACTTCAGATTTTGGTATTTAACCATTCATATTCTTCACTTCACACAGTTAACTATTCAAAAAGAGGAAGCCAAAAAGAAAGAAGTTCACGTCGAAGACAACGTTCCCGCGCCTTCTCCTCGCTCCAACTGCTCGGTAACACCGTTAACTTCTCTTCTCGCATATCCATCGTTGCATTGCAATGCATTTTCCGTTTCGTGACGCTTGATCGATCGTGTAGCTCACCGTCAATCCGTTGAAAGAGACCGAGTTGATTCTCTACGGTGGCGAATTCTACAACGGGAATAAGGTTAGACTTAGGAGTTTGAACTCAGTTGTGACTAATGCAATTTGTGTTTATTTGTCGAATGAGTGATATTTGAACAATTGTTGCTACGATGTGAATTTGTGCAGACTTTCGTCTATGGGGATCTCTACCGGTATGATGTGGAGAAGTTGGAATGGAAATTGGTTTCAAGTCCTAATAGTCCTCCTCCTCGCAGTGCTCATCAAGCAGTTGCTTGGAAAAATTATATTTATATTTTTGGTAATTGACTTACAATGTCTCTGAGAGTTTGGTATTTGTTCGACTTCAAAGATGTCGTATGATACTTGTAGCTGACCTCACATCTTATTGAGATAAGGTTTTTTTTTTTCTTGGTTGTTGTTGTACTTTTGGTAATTGACTTGGCTTTGTTGCTTGCTTAAAACAACAACCAAACCTTAAGTTCATGACAACTTAGTGTTTTATTGTGAATCATATCTATAGACAAAGTAGTGACCTCTAAATCCTTCTTAATGGTTTACTTAATAGTTTTTCTGGTTGCTCACAATAAAAAAAAAAAGTTGTGGCTGTTATTTATTTATGTAAATTTTGCTTTTTAGGTGGTGAATTTACATCTCCAAACCAAGAGCGGTTTCATCACTACAAGGTTGAATTTGCATAATTGCGTTGCCTTAATTTTTTTATGTAAAGACTAAAGAAAATTTGGCTCGCTTTATTGGATTTTAACTAGTTGGAGATGTTGCTTTGGAATTTTAATGTGTAGGATTTTTGGATGTTGGACTTGAAAACAAATCAATGGGAACAGCTTAATTTAAAAGGGTGTCCAAGTCCACGCTCAGGACATAGAATGGTATGTTCCAGTTCACTTGAAATGATGCACTCATAGATTATTAGAAAGGATGTCAGATTGTTAAATCTTTAAACGAACAGGATTTTGATATGTTTGTTTCTGAAAATGCATGCTATTCTGTTTAACTCAAATAACTTCATACTACTGTCTGCATTGCATAGCAAAGTCCCTCATATGAATTCTTACCTACATGTATCTTGTGCACTATATGACATTAAATACCCATGAAAGATATGATTTCTGTGAAGTGCCAAATCATAGGTTCCTGCCATCATGATTATTTTCTATATTTTCTTCTTTCAATTTGCAACCCTAATGTGAAAATGGAATAACAACTTATGTGAATGTGGTATATTTTACTGTTTTGCAAGAAACATCGTATTTAATAATTCTCATTACAGCTTGATTTGGTTCATTTCAATGTAATATTCCTGTTGAGAGTTTCATACATCCATATCAGAGATTAAATAACAAGAACAATTACTATATTGTCTCTGAATCTGATTTGATTACTAATATCCTTTTGCTATTGAGAGCACTGAAGTTTCCTTTGTGCTAGTTGGTCTTTAAACAGCTGCAAGGTTGGATACGTGTATATCTCTATTCTGTTTCCACTATCTCCCTTTAGTCCATAACAGAATGTTATTGAAAGTTTACTTTGTCTTTTTAGTTAATTGACTTTTTTAAATTATCATATTTGTCTCCACTTATTGAATACATGTTCCTAACATACAGAACATTCATTGACAAATATTCTTCTTGCTGTCACTGACTGCAGAATCTAAGAGCCGAAGATATAGTCACTGTGTTCTTTTTGTTACTAATCATCATTGACATTGATCATTCTAGCTGGTTTCTTGTCTATTTTATAAATCTTATTTTGCATACTTTAAGGTTGGTTTCTTTGCTCATTGTAATTGCTAAAAGCCTTCCTTGCAATATCCCCCCTCCTCTCTTTCCATTTGAATTTTCTTACAGAGAAATGCATGACATGTTCGATCCGACTTATTTATTCTTATATGAAATGTTCTTTTTGTCGCTTACTCTGGGAACCTGTTTGTGATGTCATAGTTATGAATCTTTATTTTAGCAGTCAATCTCTATAAGTGTCCCCCCACCTACCTGAAGTATCATATGTGAAACCCATATTAATCCAGTTTTTTTATTTGTTTTCATCATATGTTTTTTGTTCTAATGCTTTGTCTTCAAATTATTGGCTTCATTAACAGGTATTATACAAGCACAAGATTATTCTTTTTGGTGGCTTCTATGACACTCTTAGAGAAGTGAGGTTGCTAGTGCTGCTTTTTTATTTTTTTCATAATCTTGTATTGAGTCTATAATTTTGTTACTTGTATGTATTTGATTTTCTTTGTCATATTAAAAAAGAACATCTTTTTTCCTGCATCTAATGGAAAGCTTGCTGTAGGTAATAGTTAAATGTTTTGGTTTGTAAAAGTGAGTATCATATTACCCTGATTCAACTTAGATCATAAGAGTAAGTCTACAGGCAATTGAGTTCAGGGAGAAGAAGCAGAGCTTGAGCTTGTAATAAACATAAATTGCAGGATTTCTTTGGATGTTTGCTCTGCTAGTAACTGTATATAGCATGGAAACATCACTTTCTTTGATACATAATTTTGATTTCAAGGGAAGGAAATTTTTTTCCTCGTGCCACAGTTTATTTCTGTATTTATGAGTCTGCATGCACAACAGTTGGGACTTATTGGACTCACATGGAATGTTTTATGGATGTTTTCCTTCCATCCCTTATGGTTATTTTAATTTTCTTTTTCGGAGTGGCTGTGTTAGGCCAATGGTAATTAAACTAAACTTACTAACAAGCATGATGTGAACAAGGGTCAAGATGGTAAATTAGCTTGTAACTACCTTGCACATGTAGCAAGTAGAAATGTGGAAGGTGTAAGGTATCAATTTTATTGGTGGAAATGACTGAAAGAAGAAAGGACAGAGGGAGGAGGGAGGGTAAGAAATGGAGTAGAATAGGAGTGAAGTAGGCCTATCCTCTGGCTTGGGGCTCTGGTTTAGTCTTTTTCTTTCCTTGTAAATTTCATTTCTATTCTATTATTCCAGGAAAATCCAAAATCAATTTCTTGAGATAGCAATACATATTCTCTATTGATATCCACTTTTGTTCATTTCTTTCAGTTCTTGATCTCTGATTCCTGATTCTTATCAGGTTGCTTTCTTTGATTACTATAATTTCAAGGTTTTATTTTGAGCACTTTGATCTACTAATATCAGTGTTCAAATATTTTAAAATTTTTTGTATGAACTGTAAGTAATGTAGTGAAGCATTACGCTATACACACTATCATTGAATAGTCACAGGAATGTGTTATTGTGAAATCACATGTATTTAGCCCTCTGAAATTTATTCATTAGTTGATTTTTATGACATTAGGAAATGAAATTGATATTGTGTGTCTTAATTGCAACTTACAGATGAATCAGTATTCAAAATTTTTTTCTTGTTTCATAGTTGGGGTTACAAAATTCTATTTCTGGCTCAAAATATTGTATGTTATTGAACCTATAATTTTAGATACAATGTTCTTTGTGTGTAAACTTAAATGAACTTAGATTATTTACCAAGAGAGATCAACTATTGTATGTTATTGAACCTACAATTTTAGATACAATGTTCTTTGTGTGTAAACTTAAATGAACTTAGATTATTTACCAAGAGAGATCAACTATTGGTATTGATTCACTTAATAGCAATTTACTGCGAGGTTAAGACCTTTTAATTGATTATGCAGGTACTACAATGATCTATTTGTATTTGACCTTGATCAATTTAAGGTAAATATATCAAAATACCTGGGCTATTATGTTAATATGCTATTCACTATTCCAATTTCTGTGCCAATATGTCAGGATGTTTGATTTAATGTAGTTGATATTTATGTTCATTAATTTGATAAATGCCACTCTGATTTTGTGCTGTAGTGGCAAGAAATAAAGCCCAAGCCTGGAGCAATGTGGCCATCTGGACGTAGTGGTTTTCAATTATTTGTTTACCAAGATGACGTGAGTAAATACTGATCCCCCTTATATGAAGCTAATTTTTTTGTTTTAAATACCTGTTTTTATGCTTATGTTTATTTCTATAGCCAAAATTTCCCCTGTATCATAGTAATGATTAAGTAGGGTGGCTCTACATTACAGAGTAGTCAAGTTTCTTACTTTACAGAGTTTCCTTCACATCGCAGATTTTTTTGTATGGTGGCTATTCAAAAGAAGTTTCATCTGATAAGAGCTCCTCTGAGAAAGGAATTGTTCATTCAGACATGTGGTCCCTTGATCCTAAGACTTGGGAATGGAACAAGGTAGTGGTTTGGAGTTTAACATTAAAAGAATTTGTATATTCCTCTTCTTGGGCAAGTTTGAGCTTTTTTGTAGCTTAGACTTTTACCTTTGCCTAATTAAAATGTCCAATAGCAGCACAAATTTCTCTGTTGATCCTTCAATTAGACCGTTGTAACATCTCTCTCTCTCTCTCTCTCTCTCTCTCTCACACACACACACACACACACACATACACACCCTCGAACACCTGAAAGTGAAAAATAATGCACTTTATTATCTGTGTCCAACTGATGTTTTCATCATATTTTCTCCCTACATGATAGGTTAAGAAAAGTGGAATGCCTCCTGGACCCCGTGCTGGGTTTTCCATGAGTGTTCATAAGAGGAGGGCTCTGTTATTTGGTGGTGTTGTGGATATAGAAGTTGAAGGTTAGCTTTTGTTTTTTGTGATTATTAATTTTGCAATTTGTGACCTCTGCATATGTAATATGTTTTTAAGTAAATTAATGGGAACTTATCTGTGTGGACTGTATGACACACTTTGTAATATTTTCAAAGAATTAATAAAATCCGACAGTCAGCTTAAATTCTGTTTGGAAGGTGTATTTCTTTTTTATGATTGCTGCAACGTCAGTTTCCTTATGGAACTAAAATTGTGCAGGTGATGTAATGATGAGCTTGTTTTTGAATGAGCTTTATGGTTTTCAGTTAGACACTAATCGCTGGTGAGTGTCACAATTCCATTAGTTTTTTTCAATGAGCTTCATTATTTTGCATTTTACTCTGTAATTGATCATTTTCTGCGGTTAGAGTTGGAATATGCTATCACATCTATTAAGATGTCCCACATTGGCTAGAACTAGAGCAGAATACTCCTTATAAGGGTTAGGATAGTCCTCCTCCTATGAGCTAACTTTTGGGAGTAAGTTAGGCCCAAGTTTCTTAACAACATCTTATGGTTCTTGAGGTTAATTTATTTGATCTTGTTTGGGCAATAGGTATCCTCTGGAGTTAAGAAAGGAGAAGTCAACAAAAGATAAGGTAGATTGGATATCTCATACATTTACATTTATTCTGCTGATCTCATGAAAATTTTCCAGCATTTTAAAACTCATTCTGTAGATTGTTCTGAATGTAATATTGTATTTTTTCTTAATGAAATGGGGCTTTTCAGTTAAAAAAAATTGAACAAAATTGTACTGATGATGTCGACAAGAAGATAAATGCAATATATTCAGCTAGAGAAGAAACTGAGGAGTTAGAGGATGAAGAAAGCAACATCAATGACATATCCCAGAATATTACATCAAGCATGTCTATTGTTGATGATGAAACACTTATCAAATCTGAAGGAAAGCCTAAAGAAGCTGGTGCTAGATTGGAGATTCAGAGGAGTTCTTTGCCTGAGGTTGTCTCTTTGGACCAATTATCTTCTGACACTACTTTTTGCCCACTTATTGATTAATGTTTTTTTCTCTACAAATTTTGTAGGTAGTGAAGCCCTGTGGACGTATTAATTCCTGCATGGCTGTTGGAAGAGATACATTGTATATATATGGTGGCATGATGGAGGTTAAAGACCGAGAAATAACTCTTGATGATTTGTATTCTCTGAACCTTAGCAAACTTGATGAATGGAAGTGCATTATACCGGTTTGTTGACTTTTCTTAACTACCTTTGACCAATACATAGATATGCTTTACACTATAGATTCCAAGTAATAATATTATAAATGTATGAAATCAAATGTGCCCAAATCTCTTGTATGTCAACACTGTTTTCTGTTCTTATGACTAAATATAGTTCTATTTCTAGAAGCTGTCTGTCTTTGTGTCTCATAAAAAAATGATGGTTAAGCAAGAAAGAATTTGATTTTTTGACTGACAGAATTCTGCTACTGCAAAATTGGTGAATGTTTGTACCTTACCCAGTTGCAAGGGTCCAGGACATCTCATTACTCCACTAAATATTATTAAAAAGGCCATCTAACAAAATATGTGCTACTAATTAGATCGATTAGATTGCATTAATTTTTTTATGTTGTCTCATATTAACTTAATTTTCATTTGTAATTGGTTTTTAACCCAAAAAAATTTAGTAGATATATCTCTGGGTTTTATTACAAATAATAAAGTGAACTGGTGTTCAACCCATGCATGATAATATGGAATGGGATCAGTTGATGGATGTGGGTCCCACTAGGCCCATTATATGGTGTGTCTATTCTAGGAGGAAGAATGGCAATGTGGCAGGTAGTTAGAGAGTGCGGGAGAAGTTTGTTATACAGTGAGAGAAGTTGGTTATGCAGTATGGGGGTTACTATAAGAAAAGGGAATAGATGAGAGAAGGCAGAAAGGTATTTGGTGACTTAGTGGAACAGAGGGAAACCTCTCGAATAGGAGTTGTAACTATGGAGGAATTGTATCTTCATTTGGGGTGCCATTCCTGATAACCAAATAATACATTAGCCATGTGTATTAATCTTTTCTGTTGCTGTTTTCTTCTGTTATGGAGTTCTATCAACTGGGGTGACTTATCTTCTGTTGATTACATTATGCAACACAAGGCCTCTAGATATGAGCTATGCTGATGCTGTTAACACATCTTTTGTTTATCTAGCTTATTTATTCCAGAATACATTGTGATTGTAATTTCCTATTTTAAAATTCATTTTTACTTTATTTTCTTTAGTCTGTCTAACTTAACTTTTCTTCTACCCAGGCATCAGAATCTGAATGGGTTGAGGCTTCAGAGGATGATGATGATGAAGAAAATGAAGATGAAGATGAAGATGAATCAGATGGTGATAGTTCCACTGATGAGAATGACGATGAGGAGGAGGAAGAGGAAGAGGAGGTGCACATTCCAACTTTGTAATTCAAACAAGAAATAAAACACACGTTTAATTCATCGACTGAGGACCTTGAAAAAACATTTCTATAAAAGAAAAAAAGGCTGCAATTAACCCAAAATAGTGTTAGGCGTAATAGATTCATATGCTGAGTCATTACCTCATGTATGTTATGGTTAAATTGAATCTTCAACTCAACTTCACCAAATGAGTGCTCTTCCCCTTTTCTCATTATATATGACTGAACAAGGGTAAAAATGACATTTGACCCAAACATTAGTGAGCTAACATCTCTTGCAAATGAATATATTAGTGTGATAGCATTTTGAGTTACTTGTATTAATTTTATCATAAAGAGGATTTTGGGTAGGTTTTATCATAAATGGGAAATCTGTAGTATATACAAAATACATGGGAAGGGAAAATAATTTATTTAATCTAACACACCATTCAACTGAAAAAGAGGGAGAAAACAACAGAAACATGCTATCTTTTGGGAATTCTATCTCTTCCCTTTCCTTTCGCTGTTTCAATTCCCTTGCTTGTTGATTTTTCTCTTTTTGGGATATTTTGAAGCATTAAGTCTTTACACTATTTACCACTAGAAAGATGTGCAATGGGAACAAAATGGGTTCTCTCTAAGATACCTGTTTTTTCTTTTGCTACATGAAATGATATTCTTAACAGTTTACGGTAAATAATATTTTGGACAAAAATTTATCTGTTCAACTGGTAACGTGTAAAATGATATTCCTAAAACTTACAATTGCTATCCCACACATAATGTTCAAACATATGTATGATCAACTCTACATAACTAGGCAGTTTATTTGTCTCCAAAATAAGGCTTGCTACATTACTAACTTGGCTATACTTTTTTTGGCCACTAGGCTCAGAATGCATCGGTTCAGGTGGGAGATGCTGTTGCTTTAATCAAGGGAGAGGGAAGGAATCTGCGGAGGAAAGAAAGGAGGTCACGGATAGAACAAATTAGAGCTAGTCTTGGCTTGTCAGATTCACAGAGAACACCATTGGTAATATATTGATTGATACTTAACACTTTAGACTGTTGATTAAGATTGAATGGATTTATGAATTTTTAAGTTTTTTTATTGCGTATGAGCTCTACTATCTTGTTGATTGTATCTAGTTGTCTTCGCTCCTACAAAAGCATCTCTAGGCTTCAATTGGTGTTTTTCTTCATCCCACTGCTTTCCTAATTGATTTCTTGTTGCATGTAAAGCCAGGAGAATCCTTGAGGGACTTCTATCGTCGTACAAATTTGTATTGGCAAATGGCAGCCCATGAACATACTCAACACACTGGGAAAGTAGGTTATCTCTTTTCTTTCGTTCTTTAGTTATATTATTATTTTATAATGGCCCTCTTAAAATACAGTTTTGTTACTCTCAGCCTCTAGGGCTGAGTTTAAAGGTAATAAAATTGTATTAGAAAACAAAACATTTATTACATTGAAGTTACAAAAGTGTAATAAATGCTTTATTTTTTAATAAAATTTTACTATTATTAAATGTTTAAACTTAGCCCTAAGGTTTGTAGTTAACAAAACTATAAAAAATACAGTCATTAGTAGTTTGACTTGTGTTATGAACCAGGAAAGAGACATGAACAATTGATAGAAACAAAGGAAATGAAAATTTTATTGAGTGCATGAGAACAGGAGAGAATGCTTCTTTGAAGGTTTCCCCTTTAATATGAACTTCCTAACGAATCCTCCATTCTTCTTTCCCCTATTTATCTAAACGATCTTGTCTTACTAACTTTCCTAACTGTTTCTTACTACTTTTCCCTTCTCCTCTGTCCTAACAACTTGTTTCCCCATTTCCTATTATTTTGTTACAAATTATCTTTTGTCTGGATACCAGCAGTTGTTTTAAATCTTGCTTCTACTTGTTATGTGCTCAGGAGGAACAGAAGAGACTTGTTGCTCTTTCCGTTTTTCCTCAGCTCAAATTGGCCTGATCTGCTTACAAATAACATTTGACTTGTCTCTTCTAATTGATTTTTTTTTCTTATTATGGATGTGCATGCATTTGTTCACCTGATCTGGCAATGTCCAGTCTGATACTATTGGTCGCTAAAATTTATTTGAAGTGTTGAACTTTCATATCATAAAGTGCCTGTAAAATTGCTTCCCTTTTGTTTTCAACTAAGATCCAGTTTCAGCAGCCTCTTAAATGTGGTGAAATTTTAAAAACATGAAAAATTTGGAGCTGAAGATTTGCCTAGGAGTATCTAGGCAATTTGTTGTATTCATTCACTTGTACTTAGTACCAGGTATCCCATATATGCATGCAGAACAAAACCCATTTTATTACTTTTAGATTTCAGTGATTTTACTTTCTTGGTTTGCATTATTATAACAGATTTGTGCATGATTGCAAAATTGATAATGCTGGTAAAACTTATTTGTCAATAATGGTTCCGTGGAACCCATTTCATAATTTTGTCAATTGTGGGAATGAATATAATACCCCAGAATGAGGAAAAATAAACACCAGAAGGACTAAGGGTGTGCTTGTTTGAGAGAGTGGAAGTTTGGGAGGGAAGTGAGAGACCCAGTGTGATGTAGAGGCTGAAAAATCACTTTCATTCTACAGAGGAGGCCAGATTTTGTGAGACAAAATGTAAATGAGTTGTACTCTCCTTCCAGCTGTTTAAATTATTTGTTGTACCAAAAAAGTGCCATGTCTAACTTTTGTTCCAAATTTACATTTCCTCTCTCTACTCTATCAAACAAGCACACCCTAGAATTGTATTTTGCCAGTTTGAAATGAAACATTGTGAAGGGAATAAAATTATTTTGATATTCATCTAGCTCTATTTTAAATTCCTTCCCCCACCCCTTTCCTTTTTCATATGTACAGATACATGTGTCCATACGGAGTTGAACACTAATGAATACCTCGTGTTTTTGTGATAAAATTCCACTGGATCATAGGAACTCCGCAAGGATGGTTTTGATCTTGCTGAAGCTCGATACAGGGAGCTAAAACCTATTCTTGACGAGGTAATACTTTTGTTACGCACGCATTTGTAGAGTAACACTTCAAATTTGCAGTGTCACTATTTTCTTGTTTTAAATAAGTTCCAAGTTATTTCTTTGGACACTGCAGCTGGCTCTATTAGAAGCTGAGCAGAAAGCTGAAGAGGACGAAGGGCCCGAAACTAGTGCAAAGAAAAGAGGCAAGAAGAAAACTAGAAATTGATAATTTATTTAGCGCAAGGTTTGGATGCTATCGAGAATGTAATTTGCAATTTTGGTTTAGTTTGATATTATTTGCGAAGGTTTTGCGCATGGTCATGTTACATGTAATCAGTAACAAGCACAGACACAAAAATCACAATTACACTACACGAATTCCCTCCCCCGAAAAGGAGTACAAAATTCGCAATAGAAAAGATAAGAGTTTGGCGAATTTGTAATTTATGGTGACGAATTTATCTATGCCTGAGTATATTTAAAATTGCTACAGTTACTCAACTGTCTTTGAAATCTGATACATTACTCATGTTCTCCCACTAAATCGAACATATGTAACATGTCTACGCTTGAATTTGAAATTGAATATTAGCTGTTTTTTATTTCTGTGCTTATCATCAAATCATAATTGGCATTGACCTTGATTGGTTAAGAAGTAATGATAAAATGTTGACTGGGTGTTATGTTGAAAATGAGAATGGGTGGTTGATGATAAAGGAAGTTATAGGCAATGATCATGATTAAATTCTTGTAAAATTAATTAGAAAAAAAAAATATTTTACCTGTTATTCTATAAAATTATTAATCCTGTTTAGTATTTTCACCTAATGTAACTAAAAATATTAATGGTGGGAAAATACTTCAATTGAATATAATTATATTTTTAAATTGATCTAATGTTATTTAATATTTATATAAAATTTGTAAGCGACCAATATTTTAAAGTGGAGAAAGTTATTAGAATATATTACAGATTATTAGTTGAAGCAGTTTGCATTGCCAAGTTCACGACCTCTCCACTTGCTTTTATTTATGTGAGTAATAGCAAGAGTAATACGAAGAGGGAATGAAACCGATGCACGTAAAAAGAAGAGCCTAGCAAGCTATTGCTTTCTGCAACATAACTATATTTCTTAATCTTTGTCAAGTACTGCCAAAATTAAAAGCTCTTTGAAAAAATATTGGCTTAGTACCGTATCTCAAAAGAAGAACCCACCGCAGTGTCTACACTCTTCAAGGGTCAAGACTATACACACATTATATAAGTATCTATATGTGTAAAAGTATACTGCAATTCCTTTGCGCATGCAAGGATTATAGTTTTATATAACACCTTTGAGCTTCAAAGCTGCCTAATGTTTACAAAGATAATAATCCAAACAGGTATATTTGGCATCGGCTGCACGCGTGGCTATTTCCTGCCTCTATTAGTAGCCAGAAGCCAGGGTCCCAAGTTGGAACAAAATTAAAGGCTAAAATTAGGTTACACATTCTTGAATCTTTATTTGCTCAAGTGGAATCTCACAAGTAACGAGAAAGAAGGACAACTTTTTATCTTAAATTACAAAATCAATCCAAGTCGGAAAAGAAAAAAGAGGGAGCTTAAAACTTATAATAAGAGTGGATTCTACCGGTTACAAACACGAAATTATGAGTATGAATAAATTTATAAAAAAGGATGATAATTTATTTAAAATTATTAATTAAAATTTATTTAAAATTATATAAATTATGTGGGTCTTATTTTTTTTGGTTTTAAATTAATGTTTCTTTTCTGTACTTTTATAATTTTTAATAAATTTTAGTTGTGTGTTAAAAAAATTTATTATTAGTATTTTTTTTTAAATTATTTACAACATTTTTTTATTTCTCAATTATCCATGCAAATTTTGGGAATTCAAACCTCTTGTTGTAGGAAAGGTTGATTTGTATTATAATTTGTTTGTATTGTGATGAATTCGATTGGGTAATAAAAAATATTTAATTACATGAACTCGGAAAAAAGAAAAGATAAAATATTGCCTTATTTTTTATTTATTGAAATTACTTGTTTTATTTTATTTTTGAAATAATATAAAAATTTCAACGACTTATGAATGGACCTAAAGGCTGAATACCCAACATTTTTTAATATTGTATGTGCCTTTAAGCACGAATTTTATATTTGATTTCATGTTATGTATCTTTCTAAATCACTTTACACTGATATCAGTCTACACTGAAAGCATTTTCCTCCATATTTTCTTCCTCTTGAACTATTCACTCTCTCAAACAAACATATAAAGTAGGCTATTTGAGTTGTTATGTTTTATATTATCAATTATAATAAGTCATGGACTAATTAAAAAAAACAAACAAACTTGAATGCTTAACTTTACTTTTTATTAAAAAGCTAATAAATATGTGTATATATACACAAATTTTGTGCACGAATTTAGATAAGATTAACTGACTATTTCAATCTTTGGTCATTAATAAATACATGCATTTACAATAAAGAACAAAAATATGTTTTTATATGGAATAGTCTAATAATTATGTATTATTAAAAGAAGAAAATAAAAATATTTGAAATATTTAAATTATTAACTAATTAATTTTTATAATGAGATTATTTCAAGTAATTAGGGATATTTTTAACTTAAAAAATAACATTACTTTCACATAATTTTCGTGCATAAACTTATGTTTGGTATGTTTAGTATGTTTGGCAAGTTTAATTTTAATAAAATAATTGTTTGTTTTTAAATATTTATCTTAATAAATTAAAAATAGCAATTATTTTTCTAAAACAATTTGAAGTATGCATCTTATCTCATGATATCGCAACCTTAATAACAAAAAAGCAAGCATGTATAAATAAATAAATATATATATATATATATATTAAAAGATTTTTTTATAAGAAAATGTAAAAATATATTTCAATCATTAAATTTTATTAATAATTATATTTAAAACAAAAATTATTAATCATATAATTTTAATTACCTTGTAATGTTAATTAATCATATTTAATTATATATATATATATATATATATATATAATTTGTTAATACACTATAACTTATTTTTAAGAAAAATATATTAATGTTATTAATTATAATTTCTTTATATATCAAATATGTCAGTTGATAACATACTCTTATTTTCATGATTTTTAATATACGTTCACTTACTTTCTAAAAGAAATATAATAATAAATTATAACTTAAATTTTATTATAATACATCTAAATTATCTTATACAACTTCTTTGTTTTTATCAAATGTGAAATTTTTTTATTCACAATTAACTTTAACATATAACACATTCTTCTTTAGACAAAAGTCTTTCTAACCATCATTCTTTATGCTCATTTCAAATTGTGTTGTTATTATTTCTCTTCAATGAAACATATTACACAACTTCCGCATCGTTAGGAATACTTTTAGTACAAAAATCACTTCACATAAATCCATCGATTCCTATCTTGAACTAATTATTTAGATAAACTTTCTAATTCTAATGTTATTTATTAGAGTATATGAGGAAGCTTAAATGCTGAAAAAATCTTCATAATAGACTACAAGCAATCTTCACATAGTTGTGTGTCAAAGAAGAGTTTATAATTTTATCTATCCAAAAATTATATGTGAGAGAGTTTGCAATTTTATCCGGTGAGTAGTGAAATTTTATTGTAAATTTATGACTATAAGGAAAAAAAAGTATTACACCATGTTAAATTTGTATTTTTTTTTTCAACAAAAAAAGAAGAAGAAGAATCTATTTGCACACTTGCACATTATATATATATTATGTGCAAGCTCATAAGATTCCCACATGTGGGGATTGTTCACCTTGATCTTTCAAAGATTTTGATTTTGGATCTTTCAAAGCTACCATTTTGTCTTGCACGTTAAAAATTTCAAAGAACAATGGAGCACAAGTATTCTATTTTCTTTATCTAATTTCGTGGGACTAAATAATTTTATATTAGATTAAATCCAACAATTTGACTCTAAGTTTGAACTTAAACGACCGCTGCATCATCCGGCGTCAAATCTGTGCTTTTATGATCTCGTATTAGTTAAATCAAGGTCATGCGTGTTGCAATTGCAAATACCTCAAGATTCATAATAGGGTTATAATTTTATTTTCCGTACTTCTCTCTCTTTTTTAATTTTCTATCACATAATTTATTATATTTTTATCTTCTTAATATTTTTCCATTTCTTTTGCCCATTTCAAACTTCATAAAAAAGGTGTTAGGCAAGTATTAACCATTATACGCACACATGCCTGTTTCAAACTGTGGAAACATTTTGACAAAACAAAATGTAAAAACATTAATAACATGATAAATGTAAAATAATTCAATGTACTTTATTAAATATCTTTATAATTTTTATGTAATTAAGTTTTTTCTTAAATATGTTGGTTTTACTTTTAATTGTTTTTTAAAAATATTGGTTAGTCTTCCTAAAACAAGGAAAGAGTAATTAATTTTGGTAGGTAAATTTATATATATATATATATACTTAAAAATAAATATGCAAAGGTCTTTATTTTTATTTTGAAGTATATTCTTGGAATTTAAACTAAGACTCTAAGTTAAGTTGGAAGTTTGAAATCAGTATATATAAATATAAAATTATCACATTCAATACTGTAAATGATATTAATTTTTAGGAATTGAAATAGACTGAAATCAACCACCATGGAAATTAATTGACCTCATCAGATAGATAGAGAAAGGACAACGTGGTTGGGTAAGTATATAAAAGCTGCATATGTAAAAATTAATTATTTTCATATATATAGGCTTAATTAATTAATGCAAAAGTAAGTGCTAGTTGGCATTTTGTGTCTACATATTTTTATTTTTTAAAAAAGAAACTTATAAATTAGTAGCCAGGTAAGGCATCATCAAATCACCCACCGTCGAAGTTGCCACCATTTCTTCTTCACAACCCACACGTTAACATCGGTATATTCACTCTGCATGATTTCCACTTGTCCACATAAAGAAAAAATAATAATCTTCAATGGATTCTCTTCCCCTTTACTAAATCATTCCAATAACCATTACCCACAAAGAGCAACTTGATTCACTGTGTTATTCTCACACTCCAAAGAACAACATACATTAAACTATATAGAAAGAGAGAAAGATGGGAAGAGATCTATGTGGAAGTGGGTTTGTTTCAAGATTCAGAAACTCATGGACCCAAATGGAGAAAACCTTAAACGGTGCCGTTTCAAAGAGCTTTGTTGGGAGGCACTTCAAGTTAGAAGCAAGGAAAAGCTGTTTCACAAAAGAACTTCGTGCTGCCACAGCCACTTTTCTCACCATGGCATACATCATCACTGTCAACGCCACCATCATCACGGCCTCTGGCGGAACCTGCTCCGCCGCCGATTGCTCCGCTCCGGCGGGTCCAGATTGCATGCTGAAGCCTAACGTTGGGTATGAAAGTTGTCTTGCAAAGACCAAGAATGACTTGGTTGTGGCCACTGCAGTATCAGCCATGGTTGCTTCTGTTGCTATGGGCCTTTTGGCCAACCTTCCTTTGGGCCTGGCTCCAGGTATGGGGCCCAATGCTTATTTGGCTTTTAATTTGGTTGGTTATCATGGAACTGGGTCAATCTCATACCAAACTGCTTTGGCTGTGGTTTGTGTTGAGGGCTGTGCTTTTCTTGTAGCCTCTGCTGTTGGGTTAAGGGGTAAGCTTGCTAAGCTCGTTCCTCATTCAGTTAGGCTTGGTTCTGCTGCTGGGATTGGGCTTTTCATTGCCTTTGTGGGCTTGCAGACTAACCTGGGTGTTGGGCTTATTGGGCCTGATCCTTCCAATCTTGTGACCATCACTGCCTGTAAAAGTATAGACCCAGAAACTGGGGCATGTTTGGGTGGGAGAATGCAAAGCCCAAAGTTCTGGCTTGGCCTTGTTGGTTTCCTCATTACAAGCTATGGGTTGATGAAGAATATAAAAGGGAGCATGATTTACGGCATTGTTTTTGTGACTTTGGTGTCTTGGTTTAGGCACACTGAAGTGACTTATTTTCCCGATACCCCACTTGGTGATGCAAACTACAACTATTTCAAGAAAGTGGTTGGTTTTCACAAGATCGAATCCACTGCTGGGGTTCTCGGGTTCAGTGACTTTAACAAGAGGCAGGTTTGGGTGGCCTTGGCTACTTTGTTCTATGTTGATGTCCTTGCTATCACTGGCACTATGTATACCATGGCAGAGATTGGTGGGTTTGTGGATGAAAAAGGAAACTTCGAAGGTGAATATGTGGCTTACATGGTTGATGCAGCTGGCACCATTGTGGGTTCTGCATTGGGTGTTACAACCACAGCAACATTTGTGGAATCTTCTGCTGGATTGAGAGAAGGTGGTCGCACAGGATTAACAGCAGTGATCATTGGGCTGTTCTTCTTTTTCTCATTGTTTTTCACTCCTCTATTGTCTAGTGTTCCTCCTTGGGCTATAGGACCTTCACTGGTGATGGTTGGCGTGATGATGATGAAGGTGGTGAAGGACATAGATTGGAGCAACACAAAGGATGCCGTTCCTGCTTTTGCTACAATGCTTCTCATGCCTCTCACATATTCCATAGCAAATGGGATTATTGGTGGGATTGGCCTCTACGTTGCTCTTAGCCTCTATGACTATGCTGCAAGCACCATAAATTGGTTGAGGAAGATGAGAAGAATGGTGATCAAGGAGCAAAACCAAGTTTCTGCTACCGCAGGTGGTGACTCAACAGTGGAAATTATATGAGGTGTTTTGGGTACTTATAATTTTGGTTATAAAAAATGGATGTATGGTCTTCGTTTTAGAAGCTTTTGTTTGTAGAGTTTAGTTGATGATATATAAGGTTGGTAGTTTAGAGACGTTTGCAGTCACAAGATGAATTGCATTGAGTGTTATCCTACGTATATTTTAGCATAACTGTAGCCTCCTGAGTGGGAACTTGACGCTAGTGAAGTGGTTTGTATTTATTCAAGTTGGAGCTTAGAATTTGTGTGGAAAGCAGGTGTACTAAAAGTTGTTCTCTAGCAGCTCAGTAGAACATTTAGGCTAAATGATTAAAATAATATTTTTTTAAAAACTAATTATCAAAATAAATTAAAACTCAAAGTATTTCTTTGTCTTGAGGCAAATTTTTGTTAACTCAGCACTAGTTTCGTATAAAAGTAAGATGAAATTAATTTTTATTTTTTTTATTTAACTATTTCGTCTAAAAGTGGGACGAAACACTTAATTAGACACGTGTTAATTTCGTATGAAACTGGGACAAAACTTTAGGATGTCGACACGTGTCCATATCTCGTTAAATTCGTCCTAATTTTGGACCAAACCACAGGATGTTGACACGTGGCACAATCTTGTTAATTTTGTCTTGATATTGAACAAAATCATATGTAAATTCGTCTCACTTTTGGACGAAACTACAGGATTATGAAACGTGGCACAATCTTGTTAACTTCGTCTTTATGTTAGATGAAATCATATCTAAATTCGTCTATATTCAAGACGAAATTCATTTGGACCCCTATTTCCTTGCATAATGCTGCCCCCAAATATCTAGCAAAATTTTAGTATATCATGTATGCGGTTGGGATCCAAATTGAAGTGCAGAAGTGTTTGTAAACATTCGAAGACTTGTTCTTCTCCAAGTTAGTAAATTTTGGATATTTTATGAGTTTTTTTGTTATTAATGAATTATTAAAATTATAGAAGTTAGGAGATAGTTAATATTAACTTGTATAATAAATAAAAATGATGTTATATTTGTTGTAAGAATTTATTTTATATATGTGAAATATGTATAAAAACTATTAAAATATTTGTAATATAAAATGATGTAAATGTAGTAATATGTTTGTCTATGTTAATAAAAATTTAATAATTTATTATTTATATATTGATATTTCTTTTTTTCTTTATAAATGTAGGATGAGTGAGATTATTATTATTGTATATTGGAATGGAAAAATTGTTGTTGAAAACGAAGGTGTGACATTTGAAGGTAACAAAAAGATGATAAAGATAAGAAGAGGGATAAGTTTTATGAATTTGAAAAAAAAGATTGATGACAAGTTGAATCTTAGTAATAATCATTCCATATCTAAAATAATTTCTCGTTTTATGGTTGATTCAAGCGCTAAACAATACACTGCATTGGATATATTTAATGATGAAGACATTAATTGTATGATTAGTGCTATCAACAATATAGTATTACAACTGCTATTGAATTATATGTGAAGATTGCATTTGGTGAGAGTTCAAGAGGTGGGTCAAATATATTGAACTTAAGTTTATCAATGTCACTGCTTAACCTTATGGAAATGACGAATATAAATATTACAGAAGGTATAAATTAAACTATCATTTTAATATTTTTTTATTTTTAGTGACTACACATATTGAATAAGTGTATGTATTTTCAAGGATGTGCAAAATTATGCAGTTACGAAGATGAAGATGAAGTCAATAGTAATTATGATGATAATGATGATATTGATGAAGGACATATTCCGTTAGACAGCTTATTGGATACAAATGTAGATAGTGATTTTGATTCAAACTTAAATTTACAACAAGAAAGTGTTGGAGGTAATATTTATAGAAAATATTGATTAAATTATTTTTTTATGGATGAATATTTAGTGTTTATATATATTTGTAGGTGAAATACCTTTTTGGAATATAAGTCCACGCTACAATTATATTAATTGGGACCATCAGATCAAGAAATTGAAGCTAAAAAAATTAGTGATGACAATTCATGGGTTATTGAAGATGCGTTACATGTGGGTTTGTTATTTGAGTCGAAAGAGGAAGTTAAAAATGCCTTAAAATAGCATGCAATGAAAATACATCGAAATTATTCTGTTGTTGAGTCAAAACCAACAAAGTTGTATGTGAGGTGTTTAAACCATAACAATAGTTGTCCTTGGAGAATAAGAGCATTATTGCTTAAAAATGCAACATAGTGGAAAATAACAAGGTGCGGGGGTATTCATACGTGTCTCAACCCAACAATATCTCAAGATCATATGAAACTAGATTCACAATTGATTTGTTCCTGCATCATTGGTAAGTTTTGCAAAAAATCTTATTTCGTGAAGGCTTTTGACAATAAAGGGACTAACCTCTTTTGTTTTTTGTTATGTAGCTATGGTAAATCTTGAACCATCATTTCCTATAAGTTTAATTCAAGAAAGGATGACAAACCAATTTGGATATAAAATTTCATACAAGAAAGCTTGGAAGGCAAAACAAAAGGCGATTGTAAGAATATTTGGTGACTGGGATGAATCATATGCTACCTTGCCAAGATGGTTCGAGTACATGCAATTTCATGCTCCAGGGTTTGTTTATAAGATTGAAACAAAACCATTTGTTGTTGGTCATCATGAGGATAACATATTTAGAGTATTTAGGCGATTATTTTGGTGTTTTCATTAATGTACATTCAACTATTGTAAACCAATTGTTCAGGTAGATGGAACATTTTTGTATGATAAATATCTTCACACATTGTTAATTGCAATAACACAAGATGGGAATAATTGTATCCTACCAATTTCTTTTGCAATTGTTGAAGAAGAGACTTTGTCAGGGTGAGAATGGTTTTTAGCAATAATTCGTGTGCATGTAACAACAAAGTCTGGTTTATGTTTAATATCTGATAGACATCAAAGCATCACAAGTGTTGTTACGAACCCACATATTGAATGGCAACCTCCTAATGCATATTATGTTTATTGCATTCGTCATATAACAAATAATTTTAATCATAAATTCAAGAACATTTATTTGAAAAAATAGTTGACGAAATTAGGTAAGATGACTCTATTTTTTATTTTGGTGTTCTCTTAACTTATGACGAAGTTTCTATTTCAAGTAATGGTTGAATAATTGTTATTTGCAATGTATATACCTTCGAGGATTGTATTCGAAGAGAAGTTGAAAAGATTTATCAATGAATCACCATAAATACAGAGGTGGATCGACAACATATCGAAGGATAAATGGGGTTTGAGTCATGATGCACATGACTACGAATTTGTCAAAGGCTGTTAACATGGTTTTAAAGGGAGCAAGAAACTTACATATAACTGCTCTGGTCAAATGCACTTACGGACGGATGGTTGAATATTTTTTGAAGCGTAGAGAGGACGCTTTGAATGCTTGAATGCTGGTAAGAGGTTTTGTTCAAAACTGTTGCTAAAAATGCAGAAGACATAAGAAGAAGCATCTTCACATCAAGTGAGACGATATGATATAGAAAGAACAAGATTTGAGGTTGAAGAGGTATTCAATCCTATCATGCAAAGGGGTGGAAACAAGTGGACTGTTGTTCTGTGTAGAAGATACTGTGAATGTGGGAGATTTTAGGCATATCGATTTCTATGTTCACATGTAATTGCTGCTTGTGCATCGGTAAGTATTGACTTTTGGCAATATGTTGATGATGTTTACTCTGTACAAAATGTCATCAACGCATATCCATCACAACGGTTCCCCCTGGGAAATGACAGTAATGTGCTTACACGCAGTGAGTGGAAGTTATTTCATGATGAAAAGAGAATAAGAAGTAAAGGAAGACCAAAATCAACTAGAATTAGGAACGAAATGGATTGGGTTGAGTCACAAAGTAGACAAAGATGTAGTAATTGTCATCAAATTGGTCACAATATGCATCAATGTACTTCTATATCGCCTAACCATTAGTATAGAGGCCTTTATGTATGAAATCGTATGGTGTATAATGTTATTTATCATCATGGTTTTTCATGTGTTATTTATCATCATGGTTCTTCGTGTGTTAATTATCAGTATGGTTATATACGAAGTCGAACGGTGAATACATTTAAACGAAGTAAAATAAGTCAGAAACATAAAAATCAATTTTCATTATATATGTACAAGTAGTGGTCTTGGTGTTGTCAAGGTCAATCTTCGTGTGGCTGGTCGGATTGATGTGGAGTCAATATGCACTCCCTAGGTCAATATCTAGCTCCACATTATGGGTTATGACGTACTTCTGCAGGTGAAACATCTAAGGCTGCTTCGAAGTCAGCATTCAAATCAATTCCATGAGTATATAGGGTATCATATGAGGTCCCAGTAGCAAAACTTGAATCTGGTGGTGGTGGTGTTAGTAGATGGATCATAGAGAGGTGTCGTGATGAATGGTGATGGACATGGGATATAACACTCTGTCATAATGAATGGTGATGGAGGGGTCTCTGGTAGATGTTGGGTGGCCTGAGACGAGTGAAAATATGTTGTAGGTGGGGTGACATGCTGTGTGTGGAAGGGAAACTATGATGGAACGTAAAAGACTCTATCAGGTCACTCAGGTATGGGAGGAAGAGACCAGTCGGTCACTTGAACCTCAGTACGTCTATGCTGTAATCCCTTGCCTTCCTTACGCTCCCTAGGTTGACCGACATCTATAACTGGATCCTCAGTATTGCCACTCTGTATCGGAGGGTCGGATGAAGAAATAGGCTCCATAATGCGATTCAGATCATTCTTCAACACTAGCATAGATTGACACAAGTCTCGCATTTTATCAAAGGTGAAATTATCATGGCCATCAGTCATCAAATAGTGAGCTCTCTCAAGACCATCACCCTACAACACAATTTTTTTATGGAAAACAATAGCATTACTCTTGTCATCCAACGTCTAGTGTGAGCTCTATACCATCTCATATACTCAGAGTTAGAATTTAGCTAATCAATCTAGTCATGACCCAA